GCAACTTGACATTAAGCTTTGATATCACCGCTTCTGGATCAAAGGAAACCAAGCCAGCACCTCGAAAGCCTCCTTGGATATTGCTTTTAGTGATTGCAGCCTTAAAAGCAGTAATAAAGCAAGGTAGGAACTCAATCTTAGTGATATGGGTGATCCGGTTGCACATTAGATCCTCGGCCTGGTATCTATATGCCTTCTTCAAGGGCGAGAAACACCCTACATCAAGTGGCTATAGGAGGTGGGATGAGTGCGGAGGCATACAGAGAGTGATAATCTTGTTGTCTTTGCAGTACTACTGGAATTCGAGCGAGTTGTGGCTCTCATGGCCATCAAGAATAAGTAGACATGCTGCGCCAATAGTATGCTGCTTTGTATACACGTTGAAGTGCTTTAGCCACTGCAGACCAAGCTCATTTGTTGTCCAGCCATTCTCAGAGATTGCAATAACCCAATTGTGAGGTAGATCCTCCTCCTTGTACCAGGCAGAGAGGTGGTGCTTGCCCTGGAAGATGATAAAGGGTGGGATCACCCAACCCATCGTATTGATGCCTTGAATAACTGTCGTCCACTCCCGGTTGCCCTGCTGCATACTCTTTGGCCTGCCTCGATGCTCAGAGCCTGTGACAACTGCTCCTGTTGATATCATGCCCATCATAAAGCCAGACTCATCAAAGTTGTAGGTGTCATTATCTAGGATACCATGCTTGGCTTTGGTATTCTCTACAAGCCGGAACCAGTCTTGTATAACCTTAGGATCCTCACAGAGAGCTCTCTTGTAATCATACTTTCGATTGAACTTAATTGTAAGCTCTGGCTGATATTTGACAAAGGTTGTAGCCCAGTTCTGGCTGACTGGATCTCGGTGCCATGCAGCCAGCAAGGAATCAGCCATATCTTTGATAGCAGCAAGCTGGAGAGGAAATCCTCGCACGTCAAGATCAAGGATATGCCGAACAATCACCTCTTCTTCCATCTTTAGTAGCTTCATTGAGTTGGGCGTACAGTCACATCGAAAGATTGCTCCAGCGCATCGGTCTCGTAGTGTTGTTCGAGAGACATTGTAGATCTGTGCAGCGTGCCATTCAGAGATATTCGTATCTTGCTTAATAGCCTGGATCGCAAGCTGTACATGAGCTTCTTTTGAAGAAGGTAGATTATTATGTTGTTGAGGCATCATGAATATACCATAGTTGACAGTATAATTTGGTGGGATCTTGGCATAGTGGACGGCTCGCCCATGTGGACGGCTCGCCCGTGAGGTACGTTAGTACTTATGCCTTCTGTAAGGTTAACAAACAGAGAGATTATTTACAGTACTATAAACTTGTAGAGAGGAGGGGAATTAAACCCCTAGCCTATACAGATATCTTTAAAACTACTATAGGTATCCTCTGTTAGCACAAAATCTACTAATTAGAGATAGCAAATAAGAGTCTCTAGTGCATCTATTTTAATGCCTACTAGTAGCTTAATTAATTGCAGGCTCCTACAGTAGAGATAGCTCCTTAGATGCTTAAGTCTCTGTCTCACCCTCGCACTAGTGGAGGTAGCAGAGGTAGCAGAGAAGGGCATCGCTAAGGGGCAGGCATTACAGGCACTTAGAGAGAGCCCTCCTTGTTTAAGCGTCTTAATATAAATAACTAGCAGGCATTACCTTCCTTATTACTTCTTGCAAGTTAGTATTTTAATCTACAAGAAGAGCTAGTTTTAAAACCTGCATACATCTACCTAGGCCTAACCCCTTAAGCTAGCTCCTAGATTATTACATTTTAGCTTAATAGGCGCTAAAATAGCTGCCTATTAATGCCCTTATCTGCGCCCTTACCTGCTACTATACCTCTAATACCTACACCTCCACTAAGTACTCCTATAGGCCCTCCCTTACTACAATTACCTATACTAATACTGCTACAAGTAGTTTCCTAGATAGCTCCTTTTGCATTACTACTGTATAGGCATTTACTAGTAATCTAAGCTCCCTTACCGCCCTCTTAGCAACCTTATTAGCAGCTATTAAATAGGTATCTATATAGACATCTATATAGGCACCTATATAGGCACTTAAATAGACTAAATTTACAACTGTATAGGCAGCTGTATAGACTGCTACCTTAGGCACCTTCTGCACCTCTAATAGATTATCTATATAGGCAACCTCTAGTCTTCCCTCTACTAACTTAGTCCTTGCAAAGCAGTAAGTTATATAGCTCTTAGGATAGCTGTAGTTACTTTTAGCCCTTTCTTCTATCTTAGAGATACGCGTATACAGGTTATTTAATTATGTACAGTACCTATTAGTAGTTAACAATATATACAATTTTCTATCTTATCTTATCTAGTTTGCAGCTGCAACACTAAGAAACTAGCAATTTTAGGCATCTCTATATATTCGAATAGCCTTACATTTGCTCTTATATCTAGCTAGACTTTGTAGATATTTTATAACTTGCTAAGCTAACTGCAGAACTGTTTTAAATACAGCTAAATAGCTATATATTTCTAACAACCCGCTAGTAGGGTTACTAAGGGCGCTGATGTAAGCACTACTGCAGCAGGGGCTTACTGGTATGCCCTCTATTAGTTACTGGTATGCCCGTTAAACTGAGTCGGTGTGGGTGTGCTGGGGATTTCGGGAAAAGCAAGAATAGGACAGTGTCAGCAGCTGAGAGGCACGAGCCCGCCAGTACGAGCTGTGAAAAAAAAAAAGGAAAAAAAAAAAACGGTGTACGGGTGACAGCAATCTCCTTGCGGTACGGGAAGGGGTTCGTGTGTTAGACATCGAGGAAGAGGGATGCATCATTGTCGCCCCTCCCCTATTTTTACCAGATAATCAGAAGGAGTGGAGGAAACAGAAGAGACTCTCAGGCGCAGAGAGATCTTCGGCGGCTGGAGATATCCTGCAACCTCAGAGCGGTCTGAAATCCGACGACGACCGACGTGACCAGTCTGAGACCAAGCAGCGCTGGACTGCGGACAGGCAGTCGGGCTTCGCAGCTTTTCTACATCCTGGCAATCACTGGCATCTCCGCCCTCAACGCAGCCGGACGGATACACAGTCAATCTGCTTTCGCAACTTTCTGTCCCAGTGCTGCACACTGCGAGCTGATACCTCGATCGTGGACAGTGACACGGAGCTGAAGCCGTGATGCGGAGCTCCTGATTGGATTTCCACAATTCTCGCTCCGATCGAACTTGACAGGATGACACACGGTGCCGTGGAATGTCACCGATATCCGGGCAGACGTAATTTGATCGAGTATCACTTCTTGACGTGCTCTGAGCGTGCTATTGAATGACCGCAAGTGTTTCAGCAGATACGCCGACAAGAGAGAGCAGAAGGCGGTGAGCCGACAGGAGTTTGAGTACAAAGTAGTCGGCCTGATGATGAATGTAGACGCCGTGGTCGCATCACCAGTTGTAGTCGTGCATGCCGTGGGTTAGCGGGGATTGTGGGGTTGTGGGGAAGGGTCCTCAACACCTGTCCCGGACCCACGGACCGAACAACGTGAGGCGTTCGCATGCCATGCTACCAGACCTTTGATTGCTACGAGTGCAGAAAGAAAAAAAGGAAAAAAGGCAACAGGTCATGCTGGCAGCCGATGCATGTTGAGACTGAGAAGACGGCGATGACTGCAACCCGGCAGTTGGTAGCGATCGCAGGAGGATGCACACTTCGAACATGGAAGTCGTCGCAAGGCTCCCAAATTGTCGTTGGTCTTTTGCAGATTATTGTACAACGCATGAAACCGGCCATGGGGCGACGGGATGCGCATGGTTGCACATGAGACTTGTACAGCACGGCGATTCGACCTCGAGACGCAGATGACCTTCGAAGGTCGTGTTGTAAACGATTGACGTAGCACCTTGAACAATCTCTAATAGTAGTCGGCCAAGTCCAGCAGGCTGTGCTCACGGCTGTGCTCAGCGATTCGACGGAGACTCCGGATGCAGCTCAAGAGCTGGAATCACCTTGGAAGGTCCGCCTTGTCGCTCGCCATTTGTGAACTCGGTCCGTCCGAAAGCGTGATCGGCGTGCAGGACGATGGCCTCGTGAGGAGGGTTTGATACTCGGCCCCTACACAGGAGGCGACGACGTGGAGAGAAGTCCATGGCCACTGCCGGATCATGTGTTTTGGATGTAAGAAGAGGGTGGCGAAAAAGGGTCCTTCCTAAAGGGGGGATGTCACCAGTACACGGGTACAGCGGACGGAAGAAATCGAGTGCCATGTGACGGCCGACACGGGTGCGGAGCGTTTCGCACAGACGAGGGCGAGACGACGTTTCATATGGAATGAGGCTCTCTCTGGCCGCCCGTGGCGAAGGGACAGTTGGGGACACTTTAAAGAATCGTAGTGAGTATCAGAGGCAATCTATGGCGAGTATGGACTTGAGGTGATGATCCGCAGAGTTGCAGAGGTTGGAAATGGATGTTGGGCGTGATGCAGCCGGTGGTAGAGATGGGTTTGTCCCGACTCCCGGCCGGCAGCGACGATTACTGCCGACGAGGCGAGCGATGCTGGGTCCCCCATCGGGCTAGAGGAGAGGAAGAGAGAGAGGCAGGGGTTGAGGCCAGTTGAGGGTTGGGGTTGGTGGTGAAGACTCGAGTGAAGGGGGAAAAAGGAAACGTTAACGAGGAGACGGCGCGGGATTCCGCAGAAGCAGCGGTGGAAAAGGCCCAGACCTCAGCGTGTGCGCCCTGGAGGTCACATGGCGAGGGGTACGGCTGAGTCATGCGTATTCTTCCTGAAGGCGGCGGTAATTTATCCGCGGGCGACCGCCGACGGATGCCCAGGTGCAGGTGGGCCACGCTGAGCAGGTGACTGGTGACATTCCATGGATGCATGGATGTGCTGGCAGACCACGGGACGAACAGGAACGAACAGCGCAGAAGCCAGAGATTCAGCGGTGGCCGGACACGGACGGGGAAAGAAAGGGAGCGCGTGAAGAGACAACAAGTGCAGGCAAGACAGCGACGACATTTCTTATTGGGGCGGGCGGTGACTTGTGACGGGGTGCATCGTCCAGCGCTTGCCCCAGAGTTTGTCAAAGGCGATTTGAGCGGTGGTTCAGTGTTGGGATGGACAGGAAGCGCCTTGTTCCCCACGCCGAGACTGGAGACTGGAGAGTGGGCGTTTGGAGTAAGGCGTTGCGGTGTGTGCGGCGACAGGTCTGCGGTTGGGGGCGCCTTTTGATGAATTGCACCACGCGGACTTCTACTGAGGACTTGTTGTTGTTTTTTGTTGCTGCTGTTGCAAACAGGTGAGAGCTGGCGACGCATGGGGGTATTGTATCAACTATCTCTCCATCACAGTATTATTAGCCTTTTTGGCGGTGATAAGCGCACTGTCCCGATGTTGGGCTTCGGGAGGGAATTGTATAAAGGCAGTCATATGTGCAAATGGTCGACCAGGAGGCGAGCACGGCCAGGAGTGCTACGGCACTGGCAAAAGGGACTTGTCGAGGAGAGGCCGTGCTGTGGTGGAGATGGGCGCACGCACGCGGCCGTGGACGTGGACAAAGCGTGGACGGAGGGTGGGCAAGCATGACAACGACCACAACCAGGGGGTGAAGGGTGGAGTGAAGGAGTGAAGGGCCAGGGGAGCCAGGGGAGCCCCCCATCCATCTGGGAGGCGTTTTTGGGGCTTGCCGGGGGTCTGGCAAAGCGCTGTCTGTTACCGAGGCGCCGGCACTCGCAAGTCTCTGTGTGCGGTGAGAGAAGTGCCTGGATCTGCTGCTGCATGGGCTTGAGGGTTACGGCTTGGACGGCTGCTTTCTGCTTCTGGCCTGTGTTCTGACTTGTGTTGTTCTGTTCTGAAATATAAGTGCCCGGGGCCCACCCCCCGTCGCCCGCCCACCACCACCGGCTTTTGCTGCACCCTCTCCCACCACCCAACCCATCCAGTACATATCCAGCTACGCTACGCAGTCCCTCACTCGAACATCCATATACACACACCGCGCCCGCACAAATCCTGTACCATCTTCCAATTCTCCCTCAGTCCCAGTCCCATGTGCCCCGTCGCCGCTCGCCCGTACTGTTGACACTCCTCGATCGCGGCTCAACCGAGAGCCCTGCGCGCACCTGCCGATCCCGATCCGCCCATTGACGCAATAGCCCTCACATCGACCACCTCAACAACAACCCTCATCTCTCCTTCCTCCGAGCCTCCGCCGTCCTTCCTCCCCTTTCTCCTCCGCCCCTCCGTCACGGCTCTGCCACCATCTCAATTCTCCGTCATGCCTCTCCACGCCGAGAGGCCCATTGTGCGCGTCGAGCCTGGCTCGATGCACACCATCGAAACCCGCAATCCCGAGAATCTCTTTGGCCTGTGGTCCGGTACGTCCACCCTGCCACGCAAGCTTCCATGTGAATGCGACGACTGACGCACCCCGCCCACAGTCTTCTCAAAATGCTCCCCCGCCATGGAGGATGGGAAGAGATATGAGAATCTCGTACGCTGCCCTCCCCGCGCCCTCTGTGCGCCTCTTAAACTCCTGCTGACGGCCTCAGGCCTGGCGATTGTGGTCCCGCGAGACCTTCTGCTGCGCCCACGATCACACCTTCCCCCCTAGGTGGTCCTTCGACCGTCGCGTTACTGGAGATGCCGCTGAACCCCCAGAGCTCTCCTCCAGCGTAGCCTCCGACGACTCCATCTCAGACAGCGCCATCACGGCCACCACCCGCTCCAACTCCTCCATCTCCCGCCCCAAACTCGGTCGACAAGACTCGACTGCGAGCCAAGCGCGTGGTAAGCATACTACGCCCATCGACCTCGAAAAGGTCGTGAGCTCCATACAAGAGAGGAAGGCCATCGAGCCCCTTTCCCCGCTTCCCGAGCTGCTGGCAAGGCCGGTCCTGCTCCCTACCACGAAACCCTCCGAAAACACAACCCCCCGACCATCCTCTCCTCCGCGCGTGCGCTACGTTCCCCAGTCTTCGTCGACAGTCGCTACTGCAGTAGATAGCAACTCCACCAGCCCCCCTGTTGGCTCTGATACGAGCGCCTGCACCGAGGTCAGCACCCACAGCGTCGTGCACGGCTTCAGCCCTACACACATCTCCACCTCGATACGCTCCAGCACGAATCTGAACCCGAACCCTATCCTCAAGAACAGCGTGGTGCCGAGATCAGAGTTTCCCAAGGTCGATCTCGCCAAGAAGAAGAAGACGGTCTTCACGCTCGGTGGCTCCTCCGACGAAGATACCCTCAGTTCCTTTGAACACTCGTACATGGCCAAGCACACTTCACTGTCCGACAACATGCAGAGGTCAGGCCCCATGAGCAAAGTGACCTCCTTCAAGGAGGATGTCACTACCCGCACCTTCCAGGAAGCGTCCGAGGAAAGCGAGGAAGCCATCGAGACGGAGAGCGAGGAAGACTCGGACGATAACGCCATCGAGGATGACGATTCAGACGACGAGGACTGGGAGGACGACGACAACAGCGGGCCCAGCAGCCTCAACGAGAGGGAAATGTTCAAGCGAGTGGATTCCAAGCCGAACCTGACCTCGCGACGATCCCTCCTCACCACCCTCATGCACGAACGCGACCGTGCGAGCGCGCTGCAGAACGCCGCATCCCGCTCAACCCCAGCGATTCGTCGATCACGAGCCTCGAGTCCAAACGGCCCTTCGACCGGCGTCTCTCCCCCAGAAGATGGCGGCCTGATGATGCGGACCCAGGTTCCCCGCTCCAAGCCCATCATCATGACCACGTCGAACGTGCATCCCCCGGCACTGTCGCCGCGCACCACCCGCCGCAACATGCTGCAGACCGAGCTCACCCAGTCACTCCGCCAGAATCTCCTCTGGGAGAGGCAGCAGAAAAACTCGACAAAGAATGCAGTCAACAAGCGCGCTCAGAGCGCAGTCAATCTCCCTGCCCTGCGCCGCGCCATGACTACAAGTGACATCCAAAACATGAATGGCCGCGACGCGCTACCTCCCGCGCTCCGGTCGTCGACCATTCGGGAAGCGGCCAAGAACAGCTCCTTCAACGATTATTTCGACCAGGGCCTCGGAGAGTACCACCACAAGGGATGGTAGTATACTCGGTGGCGATTCCACCTTTTTCCGTTTACATTGCATTATTTGACTTTTTAGCGGCATTGCCATGCTGAAGCATGGCACAGAGGCGTTTTTTTGGTTTTTTTTATTTCTACTGCGATTGATCCAGCTATCCCTATCGAAGCGGACGCCGCAGCATCAGGTCGATACCCTCGAAGCTCTGATACCAACGAGGCCACGACTTTCTTACTTCTTTTCACACAAACGACATCGGACCTACATGGGCGGCCCTCGGACATGGACTGCTTGTTAGAAGGGAAAAAGCGAGTGGCTCACGCCTGGCTGGTGGGGAGGTTTTATGTCCTTTTGGCCTGCGCGCAACGCACGGCCTCCGCAGCCTAATGAGTCTGTACTTTTACCAACCGGCATTGTTCTGTTTTATTGTACTTGTAGTAGGGGAGGGTGTCGTCTACTACTAGCTGTTATACCCCCTGGGAGGACGCTGGAGGCAGGCAGCTTCTTACGCAGCATTGCCAGCATTACCTACATACATTACCTACGGTAGCTCTACATGACCTACATAGGACTTGTTCATGGCAGAAAGGGTAATTATTATCGTGTTGGGATATAGCGGAATACACAAAAGGATCTTGATTGATTGACGGAATCTGGCTGTGCTCTCTCTGCTGCTTGCGAATCGGCTCCCTTGGCTGTTCCTCACCGCTTCTTCCGATCCGGCTCGCTTCTGCATGAATGTCATGACCAGATAATGACTAATGGCGGGGAACCTCTCAACAAAGATGCACCATTCTCACAACGATCGGGATACGAGAAATGTCCGGAGGTTCCGACTGTTTCCGTCGGATACACTACTTCTAGTACTCTTCCACTAACCCGGCACGTCCTTTTTCTTTGTTCCTACCTAGCTAGGCGTCGAGAGAAAAGTGGAATGTGGAGTATTGTGGAATCTGGTTGTTTTTGACTTCTTTTCAAAGGGTGAGGAGGGGTGAAGGGGTGAGGGGTTGGGTTGCTGGATGCTGGATGGATGGTTGGGCTAGATCACGCATGCCTGTCTGTCTGTACGGAGTATGTATGTAGAATGCATGTACCCTCGGTATGCAGGATTGGTGGTGGTGGGAGAATTGGGGATCCAATCGCGGATGTGGGAGGGGATTGCCGGTTGGGAGGCAGGGCACCAGAGCAGGGCAGGGATGGCGTTCTGGACGGGGAAGTGGGAGGAGGTATCTCTGGTATGTATGGGTGTTGACCGGTGAGGAGAAGGCAAGTCAAAAATTGGGTTTTGGCAATTGTCGATGCGGAAAGCTGCCCTTGAGTGTATTTCCCAGCCAGCAGGGGTGCTTGGGGACTTTGCCTTTGTTGTTGTTGTTGTTGTTGTTGTTGTTGTTGTTGTTGTTGTTGTTGGAAATCATATCATGTTACGAGAAGTTACTACGGTAGATAACAAAGAAGGGGCATCCTGGGTCGTTGGCGTTTCTGGTTATTATTTATTGAGCAGGTTGGGCAGTTCTTCCCTTCCCCTCTTCTCATAGACTAGCCTCTTCTTTGAACAACGTGGGAATTGGATGAGGCGTCGAATACTACTTGTAGGGAGAAACTATTGAAAGGGCCGGGCCGGGGGTTCCTGGAGCACAACGACCGTTTGTTCCTTGTTCTTGTTTCTTGGAACTAGTAGTCTATTTGACAGCAACTGGAACATGAAAATTCTGACAAGTCATGCCCGCCACTGGAGTTTGTCCTTTGGAGGGAAATGGTGGGGTGCGGGGACAAAGAAACTGCGAGTGATGGTGGAATTGGCAGTGGTTAATTCTGAGGACATTTCGAAGACGAAAAATGAATTGAGTTCATGAATGGTTGGGTGTGGCGTTGGGGCATCGGCATGGTCGATCTGATCTACCAGGACGACTGTGGAGTATTGCCGATGCAGTGCGGATTTCCATCATGTTATCATCGATTGCTGGACTCGAGAAAATCGGTCTTACGAGTCGCGAGAGTTTGCAGATTGGAGTATGTACTGCGGTGATGCCTGCCCCTTGTTGGGGGACAGGATATGGTAGACCTGGAGGCAAGAACAAGGAACACAGAGAGAGAGAGGTTGGCTGCGACTACTGAGTATGGAATATGGCATCACGTCATTGCGAAGTCATTTCACTCAGCATGAGTCGAGTCGAGTCGAGACGAGGTGGAAGATACCTGGACCTGGAACTCGACACATCATCGCTTGCCATCGGTATAAGCCATCGGTGCGTACACGGTAGAATTCAGCATCACAACAAACCCGTCAATTGTCGTCATTTTCGTCCTCCCCACCTGACCTTCTCGACGTCCTCCAGCCCACTCCTACTAGGAATTACCCCGGATTTGCGCGCACAGCTCAGGCAGCGCTCATTGAGCTCCCACGAGTCCCTGTGCCACGCTTTTGAACGCCCCCCGTCATTCATCGTGCTCGCAAAAACGGAGATCCATCACCTGCTCCAACCATCCATGCCATAATGTCCACCCGCGAGCCTCCACCACCACCAGGCACCAGCAGCAACGGAAGCCGTGCTGCAGCCACCGACAACACCGGTATGTCCGTTCTCATCAATTGGCCTCCCGTCGCGCGCCGCAAGCAACTCCCGGGACTGCTGTGCTGTGCTGCGCCTGGGGCCGCAGTTCTGCTGTTCAGATGACCGCGACGCAAGGGCGCTAACACAGCTGCCAGCGCATCGCCCGTCTCCTCCTCAGCCTCATGGCCAGGGGGACCAACGGAAGACATGTCGCTTCTTTGGCTCCAAGAATGGTAATTCGCTGGCTTTTTCCCTTTTTCCCTTTCTTCCTTTTTCTTCTTCTGGTCTTATTTTGGGGGGTGGTCACACTTCATGCCTCGTTCGCTTGCTCTATCACAACATGCGTCGATGGGATGGCTTTCCCCTTCCCCCTTCCCTTTTCCTTCCCGTCACGCACCGCCCCGTCGCCCGCTGCCGTCGCCGTCTCCCGACGTTGCTAGCCTATGGAGCTGTAGATACTTCCATTTGTCAACTTCCGTGGGGGTTGTTGTACTGTATCGGTGGTGCTGTTCTAGCCGCAAGCCATCTGCCTGCATCCATCCATCCATTCACACATCACAAGTCACACGTGTCACATGCTCGTCCTCTCTTGCACTCCCAGTCGTTTCCTCGTCTACCAATCGCATTCCCTTTTGATTTTGATTGTTCAGATAGAGTAGCTACTGATTTGTCTTTTTGTTCGCCATCTCTCTAGGTTGTAGAGCTGGCGCTGCATGTCCCTTTCGACATGACCTTTTGCCTTCTCAGAGCAAACCTGCCGCCAAGCAGCGGTCTCCTGGAGGTGGATCTGAGGGTGAAAGAGGGTATGCTGTGGCCTCATCGAATGTAGCGCAGGCTTCTGCATCGAGTAGTAGTAGTAGTACGGCAGAACTCCCCAGGACTTCCACTCCATCTGCTACCAATCATAATACCACAACAACAACTACAACTAGTAACACCACGCCTACTCCCCGCATCACCCCCCGCCCAACCCCCCACTCCCAACTCACCAACCCACGAACCTACCAACTCTCCCAACTCCGCCGTCGCTACCACCCCGTCGTCGTCCACGAGCACGAAGACAATGGCTCCACCGTCCTCGACTTCCCCCTCCGTCCCTCGGACCCGGACTTCCCCTTTGAAATGGACGCCCTGCTGTGCAGCCTCGTCGTTGCCCGGGATTTCCCCCCAGCGAGACCGACGCTGAGGGTAAGGAACCCGGAGATGGAGAGGGGGTATCAGGTCAATGTTGAGAGGGGGTGGGACAGGATTGTCGAGGAGGGGATGGAGAAGGGGAAGGGGGGAACGTTGTTGGCGTGGTTGAATCGGTTGGATAGGGAGTTGGAGGGGTTGTTGGCGAGGGAGAGGGCGGAGACGGGGGTGCAAAAGGAGGCGGAGAGGGAGAAGGAGAAGGAGAGGGTTACGCTCAAGGTGGTCAGGCATGGGAATCGGCCGTCTGATCAGACTGTGGATGCTCAACCACCTTCACCTCATATGGCACGGCCTACTGCTGCTGCTGCTTCATCTCCAAAACCATCTCCAAAACCATCTCCAACTCCACCTCCAGCAGCCTCCCCCGACGCAGCCGCCCTCTCCCAAGCGCGCCACACGCGCGACGCCCAAGTCCAACAACTACAAGCCCGCATGGGCCGCCTCCCCCAATTCTCAAAATCCCCAGACGGACTCAGCTTCACCATCCCAATCCAAGTACACAGGAAACAGGCGCTGCCGCTCGAGCTGCAGGCCATCAAGCAGGTGAGGCTCTTCGTGCCGGAGACGTACAACATCGAGCCTTGCAGAGTGCAGCTGGTAGGCGTTAGTGGGGAGGCGAAGGAGGCGGTGGAGAGGGGGTTTGAGGAGCGGGCAAGGCGGGAGACGGGGTTGTCGCTGGTGAATCAGGTGAATTATTTGGCGCAGAATATGCATGTTTTGGCGAGGGGGAAGGGGGAGGAGGAGGGGGGGAGGAGGGGGGAGGGAAGTACTGCTGCTGCTGCTGCTGCGGCTCCTGAGGAACTTGCTCGTCCCGAAAAGGAGTCTAAGAAATCTACCTCCGCAGAAGCTCCTCCATTGACTGCTCCTGAAGGCACGGTGTTCGAAGATCGTCCGCATGTCATCGTCATCCCCAGGCCTCCGGAATGGGATACAAAGAACGAAGGCGAGGAAGCCCAAGAGACAGACTCTTCGTCCTCGGAAAGCGGGCACGAGTCCGAGTCCGAAGACGCCGGCGATGAGGAGCAGGGCACAGCAGAACCGAGCACAGCAGCAGCAGCAGCACACACCCAAACCCCCGAACGAGGCGTCCTCGTCTCTTTTCCGCATCTCGAACTGCACGGCATCGAGCTCCTGGAGATCGTCACCATGAATATTACGGTAAAGTGCGAGCGGTGCAAGGATACGAGGGATATTACGAATTTGCTGAGTACGTCGAGGGGTGCTACTGGAGGAGGAGGAGGGGGGTTGAGGAGGGAGGCGTGTGCGAAGTGTGCGGCTAGTTTTGGTGTTGGTGAGATTCATCCTTTTTTTCTTTCCCTTGGAGGGGAAGGTTGGGAAGTTGAGACGTTAGGACTGAGCTGACTGGATGGAAAAGGTTGGAGGGCAGAGTTCATGCATGCGAATTCTGCACGCGCTGGGTACTTGGATCTGGAGGGCTGTGTGGTTCTGGATCTGCTGCCTAGGTATGGCAAACTGCCGTCGTCTTTTGGCTTGGTTTTGCTGACCTGTGGTAGCAATTTCATACCTACCTGTGCCGAGTGCTCGACGGCGTATCCGAGACCGGGAGTTGTGTCCGTACGGGGCGAGACGTCGATGGCGTTTTGCAGGGAGTGCCATCGGAAGATGAGTATGCTGTTTTCAAGGTTCTTCCATGAGACGAGTTGCATAGATAGCTGACTCCTGCTTCAGCGTTCCGGCTACCGGAGATCAAGTTCCTGAGGACCAGCACGAGTGCGGCTGTCAAGGCTGGTCCTGTGCGGAAGAAGGTACCGTCACCAGTCTCTCCCCTACAATACCTGAGCCTCCGAGGAGAAACCTACTAACATATGCCCACAACGACGGTAGAAAGCGGAAAATCTAGGCATCGTAGCGGGTCGCGAATTACCGAATCGCGGACGCTGTACGCACTACAAGAAGAGTTACCGCTGGTTTAGGTATGTGTATCTGCTGTACGGTGTACTGGGTGAAGCGTGTCCTTGTATTTGCGGTGTTCCCTGGAGTGGAATGTATATGGCTTACGATGATTAGGTTTTCTTGCTGTAATAAGGTGTTTGCTTGTGATAGGTATGTTGTCCGCTTTCGCGATACATCTTCCTCTCTGGCAAGGAGAAACGCCGGAAACGAGGGGACCCCAACAACAAACTCCTTCGCGGTTCCTCACTGATGATGGGAACCCCTAGATGCCATGACCAGGTCGCCGATCATGTCGTTGAGCATGCTAATAGGATGATTTGGTACGTTGTCACTTTCCCTATCTTTGAGGACATTGACACCCCGTGCATTCCATTGGCTTGTTTGGCGGGACATCCGCCCGCTTCTATATAGTAACTTCAGATCCTTTCTGGTGGGAAGTGAACGTTGGCTTGGCAACTGTCTCTTTGTCTTTCTTTCCTTGATGTGTTTGTTGGAAGGAAAACTGTTTGGCTGATCCATGGCTAATTCCGTCACAGTGGCTTCTGTAAGTCCCTAGCCCAAACCCGCTTATTCTCATCCTTTCTTCCCACATGGCAATTCCACGTCGCCTTTTGTCTCACTTTATTTCGGACCTACCTCTTGTACCCCTTTGTATTCGCAATCTCTACCTACCCCCGGCAACACGCCGTTCAAAAGGTCAAGAATCCATTGATCCCTGCAACAACTCACGAATTCTCGCACCCAGGCTCGCGCGAGCAAAACTTCCGCCCAAAGGACTGCGGCATCTGCCATGCGTGGCTGACGGTGAGGCCCGGCAAGGGGTTCTGGGAGGGTGGACAGGGTGAGTTCGTTTCTTTCTTTCTCGTTTTTCCTTCCATTGCAGTAGTGTCTGCCGGACTCACGCCGTCGAATCTGCGCCGTTGGGAAGATCTGCTGGCGCGGGCTCTGGTCGGCAGGTGCTCACGGGTATGCCGAGGATGACGTGTGTGCCTGAGACCATGCGGTGCGGACGTCACATGTGCGAATCTGCCATCACGGCACTTTTGCGGCGATTCTTTCACGCGGGCGCCGCGTGCCCTGTTTAGATTGAGAGAAGGCGGACTTGGCTGACGATGGTTGGGCTGACTTTTGTATGCAGGTACGCGAGATCGAGTCAAGATGTCGAGGAAAGGTACGTAGGCATTTGTTCATTATTATTAATCCACATTACTTTATAGACGACTATAGTACTGTATAGTTGGTGGGTAGATTAGAAAAGGCTAAGCTAATGGCGTCTATATGTAGATCCGAGAAAGTACAAGAGGGTCGGGGGGTCGAAGGTGGGGAGTTCGTAGATCAGAGGGATGAAAGAAGGGGTCGATGGTGGGTTAGGGAGGAGGTGTGTTTGTGGTGTAGTTGATCGATTGTGGGGTTTGAGGGACTTTACATACTGTGTAGAGTGAGCGATGGGCGTGGTGTATACTGTGGTATCAGGGGTAAGTATTCAACATTCGCCACTGCGTGACGTGTGCGGCGTAGAAGCCTAGGCAAAGCTGGGCGGTCAGATTTCCTAACGTTTTGTATGGGAAAAAAACCAAGTGTATTTTAGTACTTTGTATGACCACCATCTGCTGCAATAACTGCAGCCATCCGAGCAGGCATAGATTGTATGAGATCTTCCAACCTCTCTGGCGTAACTACAGTCTCCCAAGCTTCCTGTACTATGGCCCTTAACTCATTGTAGTCCAGGTTAGCATTAGGGCCTGTCTTCTCCTCTATATAATCTTTCATCCAACACCAGACAGTCTCGATTGGATTTAGATCAGGTGAATAGGCTGGCCATCTTAT